TTTTGGGGTAAATTTTAAAGCAGAAAAGGTTTTTTTTAGAGATTTAAGAATCATATGGCTACACAGGGATAAGGCATGTTCGGAAATAATGCCAAAAAATAACCTACGTACCAGGAGGAAAAGGCCCCCCAGGACACAGGTTCATCGTCATTGCGCCTTTCAAAAAAGGTAAGTGTCATTTATTCTTCATTTAGTAGAGTAGTACATGCACAATATAAAATTGTGCATGTAACTACCTACTATTGTGCATGTATCCTTCTCTTTGTGTGTAGGAAAATGTATATTTCATGTGGTAAAAATTTTTTTTTCATACTTTTGGGTGTCTTGCACGGATTAATTTGATTTCCATTATTTCTTATGGGGAAAATTCATTCGCATACCGAACATTTCGCATAACAACCAGCCCTCTTGCACGGATTAAGGTCGCTATGCGGGGGTCCACTGTATATATATGCTTGTACATGTACGTGTAGTGTGACCTAAGTGTAAGTAGAAGTAGCAAGACATACCTGAAATCTTGCATGTTTATGAGACAGAAAAAAGGACATCAGCAATCCTACCATCATGTAAAATAATTACAGGCTTTCGTTTTACACTCACTTGGCAGGACGGTAGTACCTCCCTGGGTGGTTGCTGCCTACCAACCTACTACCTAGGTGCTTTGTAAATACCTTTCATAAACTACCTTTTCGTCTTTTATCACACCCTTTACTTCATCATTCCACCAATCACTCCTCTTTCCTCCTGCACCCACCCTCTTATAACCACAAACTTCTGCCCCACATTCTAATACTGCATTTTTAAAACTATTCAAGCCCTCTTCAACCCCCTCCCTACTCATACCTGCATCAGCCCACCTTTCTGCCAATAGTTGCTTATATTTCACCCGAACTTCCTCCTCCCTTAGTTTATACACTTTCACCTCCCTCTTGTTGTTGTCATTTTCCTCTTATCCCATCTATCTCTTACTCTAACTGTAGCTACAACTAGATAATGATCCGATATATCAGTTGCCCCTCTATAAACGTGTACATGCTGGAGCCTACCCATCAACCTTTTATCCACCAATACATAATCTAACAAACTACTTTCATTACGTACTACATCATACCTCATATACAGTGGACCCTCGCCTAATGATGGCATCGCCTAGCGATACATTTTAACGCAAAAATTTTGCCTCGCCTAGAGCTAAAAAACTCGCTCAACGCGATTCGTCCGAGACGCGTCCACGTGCGGCCTGAGCCAGCCTCGCTGGTTCCGTGGGTGGCAGTGTTTACAAGCCAGCCTCCGCGGTCACATCCAAGCATACAATCGGAACATTTCGTATTAGCACAGCGTTTTTAGTGATTTCACCTGCAAAATAAGTGACCATGGGCCCCAAGAAAGCTTCTAGTGCCAACCCTGTGGTAAAAAGGGTGAGAAATACTATCGTACCACAGTCAGCTGCTGCTGCACCACCGTCAGCTGTTGCTGGACCAGTCAGCTGTTGCTGCACCACAGCTGCTGCTGCACCACAGTCAGCTGCTGCTGCACCTCAGTCAGCTGCTGCTGCACCACAGCTGCTGCTGCACCATGGTCAGCTGTTGCTGCACCACAGTCAGCTGTTGCTGTTGCTGCACCACCATCAGCTGTATTACTCGAAGATGTGGAGTGTTGTTGGTATGGCTTAACATGAAACAATTACCGAGAAACGATTAACCCCAGAGGGTTAGCCATCATTCACTCCATCACTGTCTTGCCAGAAGGGTGCTTTACACTACAGTTTTTAAACTGCAACATTATTTCTTATTATTTCTTATGGGGAAAATTAATTCGCCTAACGATAATTTCGCCTAACGTTGAGCTCTCAGGAACGGATTAATATCGTTAGGCGAGGGTCCACTGTACGTATTTATTTATCCTCTTTTTCATAAAATATGTATTACTTATTACCAAACCTCTTTCTACACATAGCTCAATTAAAGGCTCCCCATTTTCATTTACCCCTGGCACCCCAAATTTACCTACTACTCACTCCACAACATTTTTATCCACTTTAGTGGGTAAAAATGTACAATTATACATTATACATTAGTATATTGGTCTCACAGCAGGCCACAAAAGTTACTGGAAAAAAAATATATTAGTAAAGAAAAAGTAACAAAAACCTAAAATAAAGTAATGCGACATTATGGAAGTCGTGGATGTTGCTGCCACCAGGTCACTGAGGGCCAACTTCACGCCTCTATATCTCGGTAACTACTGATTGATTTTTTTTATTATTACCAACAGAAAATTATCTTTAATTCTGAAAGAAAAAATAATTTTTTTTTTTTCAAAATTTTTGGACCCTGATGCACCCTTTGAGATTTGGCCTCTGGACCCTGAAAGGGTTAAGTGCTAAAGTACACAAAAAATTATATATTGCCATGAAAAAAGCCAAAAAAAAAAAAATTCCACAAATTTGCAGGGATTTCCACAAACAATTATTAGTTAGGTTCTAAGGAAAAATCCACGAATTGCCGAAGCAGCGAATTCAGAACAGCAAATTTGCGGAGGGCCACTGAATGCACTAAAAAATTTTTTAATACGCAATAATATTCAGAGGACCATTAGTGATAAAATACTTACATAATATTGAGTGTCCTTAGACTTCTCCGCGTTGACAATGCTGTTGATAACTACCTCACTCTTCATCTCCATGGCAAACTGTTCTTCGGCCCACTTGATAAGCTCAGCCTCAGTAACGACACCATCAGCTGGTGAAGCTATCTGTAAAATTGAAGTTTCAAGTATCCTCAGTTCTCACACAGCATACTTAAAATAATCAGCCACAAGTCTGAACACACATTAAATCAACCTCAGCATGAGATTCAACAGAACAAAAATTATACTATGATTCAATAAAATCACTGAGGGTATCAAATGATTTAGATAAAGGCAAGTGGTGCATTGAGGCATATGTGGAGACAAAAACATTATCTACGGAGGCAAAGAAAGGAATGTATGAAAGTATAGTAGTACCAACACTCTTATATGGTTGTGAAGCTTGGGTTGTAAATGCTGCAGCGAGGAGGTGGTTGGAGGCAGTGGAGATGTCCTGTCTAAGGGCAGTGTGTGGTGTAAATATTATTCAGAAAATTCGGAGTGTGGAAATTAGGAGAAGGTGTGAAGTTAATAAAAGTACTAGTCAGGGGGCTGAAGAGGGTGTTGTTGAGGTGGTTGGTCATTTAGAGAGAATGCATCAAAGTAGAATGACATGGAGAGCGGATAAATCTGTAGGGGAAGGAGGTGGGGTAGGGGTCGTCCTCGAAAAGGTTGGAAGGATGGGGTAAAGGAGGTTTTGTGGGCCAGGGGCTTGGACTTCCAGCAAGTGTGCGTGAGCGTGTCCGATAGGAGTGAATGGAGACGAATGGTATTTGGGACGTGACGAGCTGTTGAAGTGTGAGCAGGGTAATATTTAGTGAAGGGATTCAGGGAAACCCGTTATTTTTATATAGCCGGACTTGAGTCCTGGAAATTGGAAGTACAATGCCTGCACTCTAAAGGAGGAGTTTGGGATATTGGCAGTTTGGAGGGATATGTTGTGTATCTTTACATGTACATATATGGTTCTAAGCTGTTGTATTTTGGGTACCTCTGCAAAAACAGTGATTATGTGTGAGGTGAAAGTGTTGAATGATGATGAAAGTATTTTCTTTTTTGGGATTTTCTTTCTTTTTGGGTCACCCTGCTTCGGTGGGAGACGGCTGAATTGTTGGAAAAAAAAAAATTATTGCAAAAAAATTAAGCTAGTACCTGTGTAGAGTAGAGACTATTGTTGAGCGAGTCAACAAGACTGCAATTATAACCAAAAGAAATTGTCTCTGGTTGGGGCTCAAACGATGGTAGGACCCGACGAACAGCTCTAAGAGCATTCTCGTACCCCTTTCGTACAAAATTAACTTTGTTGAAGAGAGAGTTGATGTCTATGCCCTGTAAGAGAACATGCAATTTATTACCTAGACTCATTTATGCTTTTATGTCAATAGTTGTGCCATATGAGACTAGCAAGCCTTGAACTAAAAAAGGTTAAATGTCTATTTGACTGTAACTTCACGAAAAAGCCAGCCAGCTAATTTTTACTTTACAATTATTATACTGTATATAAAAATTTTAATTTGACTAGAAAAATCACTAAACAATTGTAGACAATTCACAGAATAAATGGAGGTCTGAACCCATGGCAAATACAGTAGACCGTCATTTAGCACGAGTTTATTTGGCAATTGTGGGAGAAGTTGGTTCCATAGTCAAGGTAAGGCAATGGTCAAAGATATTAGAAGGGATAGGAATAACACCCATACCGGGTTCTGATAAATGGTTGTTCAAATATGGTTGCAGGTTCTGAGGGAGGTCCACAGCTATTCAGGGGTAGTAAGAGGTGCCACAGTCACTGAGGATCCAGGAGAATTAAGGTAATATCTCATAAAGCAAAGCTGGTAGTGCTACTATTCCCTGCAAATCACCTCTTACCTAACCTGATGCACAACACCAGAATGGCACCTCCAGAATTAGCCCACGTAGGTTTAACAAAACAAGTGTAATAGACAAGGGCACCAACTCTTTATCTTTCAATTATTAATGAGAGTAAGTAAGCCAGAAAGACTGTTAGGAGTCATACACCCTTAGTTGCTACTATATCTGTAGGTAGCTTTCAGCAGTATTTCTTCCATCAAAAGTTCTGCCAGATGACATCTCATCAAATGGCCATCTAACATGCATAAGATAACCCATCTTTTCGTTGGTGGTGTGACCCAACCATCACAGCACTACTAACAGAAGTTACATTAGAACAGAGTTAACAGTGACCTTTTTTTTCTGTCTAGGAGCTGGATTTCACAATAGGGGATATATCTGTACAAATGAAAACTCCAGGATGTTGGGGAGATTATTTAGAATTGGTGTGAAGATTGAAAAGGTTAATTCTTCAGATTAAGGCTCCAATTCACTAAAGCAAGGGTTGAATACATTACAGTATATCAAATAAGTTATTACTTAATCCAACTTTCATTTCCATATTGAGTGGAAACTGCTGGCTGCTGCTTATAGCACAACCTGGTACTGCAGGCCTACAACAGTTTATGGAAAGAGAGCATACAGTACAATATTATGTATTAGAAAACTTATAAAATTTTGGAATGTACATGTAATCAAAGCTTCCTTCAAAAAAGTATGAATTAACTGATGTGTTCTATATCATGAAGGAACAATTCACAAATAACCCTCACTCAGGAGAGGAAACATACGATGTTGATGTTTCAGTCCGTCCTCGACCACTGTCATGCCACCTTGGCTCCAGCAAGAGTATTGTGACTTTATATTTACTGAAGACCAATGTTTTTCACGTAGGAAGACTTAGCCCACTTGTACGTCTTACAGACCTGGTAGGTTTCTGTTTCTAAACATTTCCATTTACCATCTTCATTAATCCATAACCAATGAATTACTGCTGTTTGATATCATCTTCTCTAATACCACCAATATTTTCTACTCACAAGCATCAAGTACCCCCATGACATGCAAAACATAATATATAACTACTGTAGTTTAATTAACCCTTTGACTGTTTTGGTCGTAAGAGCCTTTCTTGCCACAATCTCTAGTGCAAGATTCAGACTTCATCTTAGAAGCCATGGTGAAATTTACTGTCCAGTTAGTACAGTTAATACAGTATGATGCTGCTGATAGGGCAGGGTTACTCAAACTGATGCTGCCTGCATGATACATTGCCGCTGCGAGTATTTTCAAAAATTGTACAGTGGTGTGCATCAGCCGGCCCAGCCCAGCTGCCAGATGCACGGTCGTAAGTCGAGTGGACGTATGTCGAGCAGGTCGTAAGTCGGATGGTAGGTGTATACATCTTATGAGCCAGTGTTTCGGACATATATTTTACTCAATAATTGGCAGTTTGGAGGGATATGTTGTGTATCTTTATACGTATATGCTTCTAAACTGTTGTATTCTGAGCACCTCTGCAAAAACAGTGATAATGTGTGAGTGTGGTGAAAGTGTTGAATGACGATGAAAGTATTTTCTTTCTTTTTTGGGTCACCCTGCCTTGGTGGGAGACGGCCGACTTATTGAAAAAAAAAAAAAAAAAAAAAATAATTCTAGCGCTTCAAATCAAGCAGGAGAAAGCTGGTAGGCCCACATGTGAGAGAATGGGTCGTGTGTCAGTGTGCACTGTATAAAAAAAATCCTCAGCAGCGCAGTGCATAATGAGAAAAAAAACTGACCATTTTTTTGGATTAAAATGCTGATTTTGAGGTGTATTTTCATTTTTGTATTTATGGTTTTTATTCTCGTTTTTTATGGTCTCATGTGATAAAATGGAAAACATTCTGCAAAAATAGAGATGATTTTGATTAGTTTCATGATGAAAAATGACCTTGAAATTGAGCTCAAAGTAGCGGAAATGTTCGATTTTTATCAATGTTCAAGAGTAAGCAAATCACACCACACGTCCAATACACACCAACTGGGAGTCTGATATTCTTTCACTGGTGCACTGATATTATTTATACCATTTTTACAATAAATGCAGTAGACTGTATAACAGTAAATTTTCTATTTTTTGTGTGAATAAAAAATCAAAATAGAAAGCAATAGTAATATAAGGGGGGCCTAGAGACGTGACTAATGAACAGAGGATATGTTATTTTAGTGCCAAGAATGTTTACATTGCTTATTCTGGACCCTATTTTGAAATTGGCATCTTTTTTAATTTGTGTGAAATTGGCCAAATTGCCAATTTCTGACCACTTTATTGGGTAGTTCAAATCGGTAAATGAGCGGTTTCTTGTACTCAATTGATATAGAAAAAATGGAGTTCTAAAGAAATAGCTATGAGTTTGGTCAACTGGAATAATGGAATTGGCCGAAAATAGGGCTCAAAGTTGGCGAAATCGCCGAATGCTTATATGTTGCCGAGACCGCTAAATTCGCGGGAGTGCAATTCTGTGAGTTTTCAACCAAATTTCGTACTTTTGGTGTCTACCATTGGGAAAAGATTCTCTATTTTCATAAGAAAAAATAAATTTTTTTTTTCCCAAAAATTTTGCGACCACAGAATGAGTTTCAGAAAGGGGCTTGGGGACAGTCAAAGGGTTAAGGAATTACTATATTGAAACTAGAGGCCAAGCATGTGATAATGCTGCATTCTCTACTGTGCTGTGGTGGTTACATCTAACAATCATTTTTCAGTTAGTGACTGCAGGTGCCCCTAACTGTTGTGGCAACTGTTTTTTGTATTATAATGTAATATTTCAAGACCATTCAGTTTTTTTTGTCAGAAACATATAATAACTTTAACTACTTGTATCAGTCACTATTGTGTGAATAGTGTAATACAGTGTTACACTATAATGCTGTACAGTGCTCTTCTCCCATAAAGTACCATCCTCTCGATGCTAAATAACCTCTCTGGTGGAGCACATATTTTTGTGCTGGAAATATATTTAGTACATATGATCCAAGAAGTTTCCAAATATAAACATAATCTCTTGAATGGCTCTATATACAATATTCCCAGTTCCATCACAGCCACAGATATACACAACAAACAACTGAAATTATTAAATAATAACTTACTGCTTCCTTTACAGCTGAGAGGTATGTGTTAATATCACTTGTATTTGCTGGACTTTCTGGTAACCGTCCGAGGCAGTTCAGCAACGCTGCATATGTAGCTTCATTAGGTAAAATGTTGTCTTCTTTAAGGGATTTTAAAAGCTCTTCCATTTTTTTTAAGTTTTGCTGAAACAAAAAAACAGACAATTATGCTGTATTTCAAAGTAACAAAATACAAATCACAGACTTCAAAAATTACATTTTTATATTTCCCTCAGTCAGTGTTAACCATTACTAATAATAGTTGGTCATAGGAATATTCCTGTCAAACTTTGTGTTAAAATTTCTATACAATTTTGGG